TTCTATCACCCTGTGCGAGCAGCAGCCTCTGCACAGGCGCCTAAGGAAGGAAAAGTTCCCTGTGATTTACTGAGGTCCTGAACAGTAACGCTTTGCTAAAAGTACCTGTTTCTTTAATAAAAAACAGGTATTTTTCAAACTTGAAAAAGACAGGTTTTCTTCCTGAAGCACTTCCACCACTGAAAGTGTTAAGGCGAAAATTAAAACACGTTAAACTACTTTTGCGCCATAAATCAGAAAGGAGGAAGATCGTGAGGCATAACCATGACACACTGATAGCGCGTCAGGCTTTTTTAGATACACTCTTTGAAATAGAGCAGGAAGGATTTTTAAAAAAATAGAGTAAAGCAATCTATTCTCAATTCCTGTCCTCAAATGTGTTAAATAATTCAGGGTCCGACTCTTCCCTTACAGGGCACGGACGCAACCCATGCATCCCCACGTGAGGTGGCATTTTTGCAAAGCCCTGAAAACTCTCGCTCATTTTAACTGAAAAATTATGCCACAATGCTGGGGTCTTTAATGATTTTCACATCACATAAACACAGTTTATGGAGAAATAGTTGCTAGAAACCCAAGTCAGGAAGCACCCAAGCTCTCGTGGCGAACCTGCTGCTGCCCAGGTGGGTTTCACACCTGGCTTTGGGCACTTGCTGGTGCTCCCGTGGATGGGGTTGGCCATGGATTGGCCTTGGACAACAGACCCCACCATGCTGCACCCTAGGAACAGTCTAAATACACCAGAAAACATAGAAAATACTCTCTCTCTCTCCAGAGGGGCTCACATTAGTGTTTAAATTCACTTTCCCTTGTCTTCCCAGTATAATCTTAGTGCTGCGGCTAAAATCTGAGGGTTTTTTTAATCAAACTTGGTATTTTAAAACAAGAAGTGTCACGGCCCAGTTCTTTAATAAACCCCACTGATATGGATCCTTCAATCCCTTGTAGCGTTCAGGGAAATCTGTGTTCACAGATCCTATTGCAGGGCAGGGGACTCAAAGGCTAATCTCTCTATATACTGTTCTTTTTCCTAGTTGCGTGGGGAGAAAAATGTGAGAAAATATGTAATTCCAGGGTACTGTGGCAGCATTAAACCACAGCTTCGTACCCCATGTACTGCCTTTATTAACCATCATCTTGCAGAGGGTATTAAGGTAAATGGTAAATGGTTTAATGGCGGTTTAATATTCTGCACATACCCATAACAGACATTTTAGTTGCTTTTAATTGATGTAGCTGCTAGCTTTGTTAAACTCTCCAGGAGAGTAGTTCTCACTGGGAACGAGCCTCCTAGAAAGTATCAGTTTGCAAAAACACAATAGTTTGAGCAATAATTGTGCAGAAAGAGACTTCTGGATTTCTTTGCAGTTGAATGAGAGCGTTTTGTTTCACTTTTGTATAACTCAACATCGGGTGCCTAAATTGCAGTCAAACTTTCCAAACAGCTAAATAAAGAAATACATGGGTTAAGTCACTTTTAAGATAAAACGGCGACTGGAAGATTTTAGCCAAACAGAACATTTTTATAGCTGTGAGCACATTAAAAAAAGAAAAAAGATGCAGGAGAAGTCCTGGTGTTACTTAAACAGTAGCTTTCAGCACTCGTAAATGATGCAGTATTAAATTATTTTCACTTATAAATCAACTGGCCCTGGTCTATACATTAGCACAAGCTTTAACTGGCTTCTGGCTCCTTACTAGTCTTCGCATAACTCCATCTAACCCCAAATGAAATGCTGCTGGCATGGCACTGAACCCCAACTATCGCAACTAAAAATATATATAAACCCAGAAAGAGCACGCAGAAAATGATTGCAATCAGCAAAGAAAATTAAAGGGCTCTGCAATTAAAAAACCCTCTATTATTCCATTTGTCCGACTGGCAACTGCACCTCCTGTTTGGGAGGGATAAAAAAAATGGGCAATCTCCTTGAAAATTAACTTTTAGATTTTTTTTAAGCTTGTTAAAATAGTAGAGGATCTGCAGGTGTGTCTCAGCAGGTTTTGCCTGCCTGTCTAGCGCCGAGACTTTTTGCGTGATCAAAGAATACATGACAGCAAAGGGATCTATGCTTGTAAATATCAAACGGTTTGATGATGCTAAAAGACTTTTCTGAAGTTTCCCACTTTTTAATCAGACAAGAAACATCCACCTTCAGTACCCATAGAAAAAGGGCTAGTATGATATTAGAATAAAAATAAAGTACTAAACGTGCTTACGGATAAGGGGTTTTCTTCCTATAATACGCGACTTCCATTAACGTCATGTTTGCAGGCTGAGAGGAAACTGCAACCCTCATAATTTTATTATAGCACAGTATAAAAAGGGTTTGACTACACCAATATTAATAAGTCCACAATGGGTCACAAGAAATAAGCCATGTTCACATACACAGCCTTTTAAAACAGAATTAAAAGCATAATAATGAAATGAATACACCACTGACTTTTTTTTTTTTTTCCTCTCCTGCTTTATGGTGAAATACACAGCATCAAAATCTGCAACTGGCCTGTGGAGAGGTTTTCTATACTATTTCTGTCGCTTAGTATGATAATTTGCTCCCCCCAAAAAAGTTAAAAATGCCATTCTGAATGAGCACGCGGAGCTCTGAATAAAAAGAGCCAATAATTTACAGTAAGATGATAAGAGTGTAATATTGCTTTAATATAACATATTAATGAAAATTGCCATTGTAAGACAGATAAGACTTAATAATATAACTCTCATTGTGTTCTGTGAGTTGGAGGCTTTGGTAAGTTTTATGTTAGTGCTGTGTGGCTGGCGTGAATCCTGACACAATTTCGAAGACTTGCCGTTTCCAATGCCACCAGAGCCTGAATTTATTTTCCCCTGGAATAACCCAGGCAGGCACTTTCCTGCTCTGTCAGGTATTACTGTGCTCCTCTGCCAGCTCCTGCCTGCCGCAGAGTTCATGGAAACAGGTTTTCATTATTTTTAATGCAATTTTATACATTTATTTTCATCCCACTTTATACATAGAGTGAACGAGCTTTAAAAAAAGTCTCTGTGGCTTTTTTTTGTCTTTATTCTTTAACATACTGACATTTTTTAAATTGGCAATGGGGCAATATGGGGAATGGCAGATTAATTTCTCGCCCTTATTTTTATGCCAACGTAGCTCAGCATCGCTCTGCAGTGTTCCTCTCACTTTTGCAAGCATCTTATATTTGCAACGATGAGGGCTTATACTTCTGTTTATTAAATGGCAGCTTGTTTATCTGTGCTAATTGCCAGGAAGAAAACTAAACTTCTTTCCTCTCTGCGGACCACTATTTATAGCTAGGAAGAGCAGCCCTGCACATATGCAGGGCGGGTATTTGTGTGAATGAGGCTAACGTGCGGCTACAGCAATCTCTTCTGCCAGAAGTGAGGAAATTATTTTGTTAATGTAAGAAGGCTGGATGAGCATACAGCGTGGGTTTTAAACTAAAAATGTGATTTCAAAGGGAAAAAAAAGCTTTGGAGCAGACCCATAAAAAAAAAAAAAAAAGATTTTTAACAGCGTGGGCTTTGATATCAGTGTTTTGCGTGCACCTTTGGCAAATATTTTTGTAGCATTACTGAAGAGGCACAAAGCTGCAATTTGTTCTCCAAAAGGGTTAGACGCTGGAGGAGAGGGCATTTATCCCAGTCTCCTTTTCTCTGAGAAAATCTCTCTGGAAGGTGATGATTTTTCTATGTTATCCCATGGACACTTCCGGGTTTTGTTTCTGAAATGCCCAGAAAGTTTTTCTGTACAAGTCCCACTACCAGAAATGCTGCTGTCCATTTTGGAGGAAGTATGTTATTTTCAAAATAATTTGTTACTTGGTGTGTCTGCTTTTCTGGCACGACATAGAGTAGCTTCATCATGGCAGATATGACAAATAATATTTGTTAAAAAATCAAACCTGTTCTAGAAAGTTTATTTTTTAGAAATTATTTGTCCACACAGATACAGAGAGAACTTTCTGTTGCTACAGATGGAGTTCTCCAGCGCTATGCTTTTTCAATAAGTATTAAAAATACGCTGATGCTTTAAAGTACACAAACTTATTTCTATGAACTTCTAGTGAGTTGGCTTTCACCAACTTCTAGTACTTTTTATGGGCTCTGTTTCTTACATCCCAAATAATGCTTACAGCCTTTAAAGCGCAAAACCACACACCAATATTTACAAGCATTGATTCTGAGATCAATATTTTCATGCATATTCTATCACTAAAGGCAGCACATTGAGGAAGGATAATCCAACTTCATTTATAATCTCATAGTACTTAGTGCCTTAAGTGATGTGCTTTTTAGATTCAGAAATGAATATAAACGTTAAAAAAAACCCAACACTGAAAATGAGGGCAACAAATAGAGGAATGGAGGAAGATTTTAAATAAGCTGTAATTAATTTTTGGAAACATTTTCTTACTTTGTCAGGATTGAAAAGAGGCCTTACTTATTTGAAATGATATATTTTGCAGAGAGAGAAAATATTTATAAAATACATCCTCCCTAGTAGGTGGTGGCAGTGGGCTGGCCAGCCCTTCTAAGGACAGCTCTTGTCTGACGGCAATGAAGAGTTCATCTAAAAATGAACGGCACATCTCTAAACCTGCACTCTCATGGCTCGCAGTTCAGCTTAGTGGCCGCAGTTAGCAATTAAACTGGAGAAACAAATGCCTGTATTTTGTTGCAAGAGGGTTAGTTTCATTTCTGACTTGGAAACGACAGCGCAGACACATAAGGAGTAAAAACCCGTGTAACACCAGGAGGAGAACATGCCACGTTAGCTGGGATGCTCAAATTATGCTGCATTAATATGCACGAAAGAATTAAAAGAATTAAAAGCCTTTAGAAAAAGGGATGTTGTTTAAAAAGTCATGTAGTGTCATTGCTTATTCAACAACAGCCCACTTCTCCTCCAAAGCAGTACGCTGGGTTTGAAAAAAAAAAAGCCAACCCCACACCGCTGTAGAGAGAGCACATGTTACATCAGACACAGTACCTGATTTTTCACTGCACAGCTTGTCAGCTAGATAGTCTGCCTCTTGGGCGATAAGTGAGAATATTTCATCTTCATACTCTTCTATGATACTTTCCCATTGTAAGGATGATAAAAAGGAGGATACTCATACTGTGCTTTTTTTTTTTTTTAGCTAGAAATAAGCAAGGCGGTTGCAACGCTGCGGCGAGGAGCCCCCGGCTCGCTCTGCTCTCCCTGCCCTACGCAGCGCAGGGATGAATGGCGGCTGTCCGAGAATTAATGCTACCAAATATTACTTAAACTTTATGCCCAGCCTCATTGTTGTTTCAAAACCACATTCATGGGTTGCGGGGAGAAACCCCTCCAAAAAGCATTTCACTCAGTTAGGGACACCCCCCCCCCACCTTTTCAACACGGACTCAGGGAGGAGGCACTCAAAATTTAAATAAAACAAGCCCATTTTGTATTCTGATATTAGTGGTCACGATGTGCAATAAATACAGCTCCCTGGCCGTGCAGATGCAGCTCTGATTTCACTACAGATAGAGCAGTCGACAGCAATGAGCGGCCGAGCCCCCCCACCCCAGTATTTAGGGAGCTGCTGGTAATTCACCTCGGTGCCACGAAATGGGTCTCTGACCCCCTGGGAAGGGTGGAAGAGCACGGGGTGCACCATCCAGCCTGGTGTTTGGCACCTTTTAGGAAGCCTGGGTGCATATTAAGAGGGAATTCCTCTCCCCAAAATCCAGACTTCAACCCGTAAACAAGGGGAAGCCCTTTAACACGCGTGGAGAGAAAACATACTGAAATAAAACCTGCTTGCTGGAAGTCATGCTCAGTACACACACACACACAAAAAAAAAAAAAGGCCCTTTGCTGCGCTTTGCTAAAAAAATCAAATCAATATCTGCCAGGACGTGCATTAACCCCGAGCTGCCGGTGACCGAGGCAGAGCTGCTGCCTGTGCTCCTCGCCGGGAGCTCCGGCCCTCCGAGCGTGCACGCCGGCTCGCTCGCCTGCCTCTTTCAAGTCCCCAGCTGCTCGAAAGGCCACAGCCAGCACAACCCCATAGCTTTTTTTTGCGTCTTTGGTGTCTTTTTTTTGCACGCTTTCCATGAGAGCTAAAAAAAAACCCCCAAGACCCCAAAAGCATTAAAAAAAAGAAATATATATATTTGAAGAAGGAGCTGGCAGGAAGCCAGGCAGAGCACCTCAATGTTTTTAGCAGAATTAGCTGAGAAAAAGCCATCCCTATGCCACGAGGCCTAAGAAAAATAAAGATGACATCCCTCCCCTCCTCCCTTAATTTGTCCATAAATATTTGAAACTGCTTTAGTAGCAATCTGTATTTTTAGCCACTAGTACAATTCCCTTATTTCCTGCTCATAAATCAACAGAGATATTTTTCTGGGAAATGCTGATTTATATTTAATCACTTAGAAAAAAATTCCCCAAGTAAAATGTAGTTTTGAACTGTTGGAGTTTAGGAAATTTGTAACATATAAAGCATCTGGTATAACCCGTGGGTTACTTCTGCAAGTGATGTGCCTTTTGTAAATGCTTTATTCATATTTATGAAGCCCTAAATAGATCCGAATACGTTTCTAAATAACATTATAAAGCATCTGACAAAACACAGTGTTATCTCCAAATGCTCAACTGGTTTCTGCGAGGAGCCAGTACAGAGTATGTTAAAATATGGCAAGAATCTTAAAACAAGGCACGATCTGCATGAATTTCCTAGTGATGAGAAAGAGTGGGCACACTTACACAGCTTTCACTGCAAAATAAAAGGTTACTCGTTAGTTATGTTGGCTTACCGCAAATTTCAAAGGTTTGTAAGCATCAGATTAAACCCTGAATTTTTTTTTTAAAGTCTGCGTAGATTTTTCCCTTCTTGCCTAGGAGCAAATCTCTCCCATCTCCTTTTCTGTCCCAACAACTCTGTTAAGTTGCTCTCTGACTTTGCTAAAGGAACCTCGTGGAGGCAAAAATTGATTTTTTTTGCTTATTATATCACCAGAAAAACCCACTTCATACAGATAATGCCTACTTAGATCGTGGAAAAAGAGCATCCTTCTTGCTATGTAGAACTGTTGACACATTACATTGCACACGTAATTAAAAACGTCAGCTCCAGCTAAGGTGGCCCTGGAGAACCTGCGCAGACCCTTCCGGCTCACACCCAACGCGCCCCTCGCGCCCCTCGCCCTCCTCCAGAAGCCAGCCGCCCGGTTTGAAACCTCCCGGCAGCCCGAAGAGACCGCGGCGAAGGGAGACGGCCGGCGGCGGCGGATGTTTCGGGCCATGCAAGCCCTTGGCGTTCCAGCGCCACTTGTTTCTCTAGTTGAAGCGGAGTTTGCAAAAGTCCCGGGCTTTCAGTTGTTGCTCTGTCTTTTAGCCGCTGCTCGCCAGCTCAGATGCAGCTGTTTAATACCTCCCAGGGGTTTTGTGCGGAAAATAATAGCTTACAAAACCTAGCTTCTCCCAGGTTCTACTATTTCAGCTTTATTTCCGAACAGCTGGTCCGTGTCTTTGTCCATCCCCTTCCCTCCCGGCCGCGGCGAGAATTCGGCAGGAAACCTCCAGCCGCTACCTACGCCCCAAGAGCCACCACCGCTGGCGGTGGGGGTCAAAGAGCAACCCTCGCCCTTGGAAACGGGGACAAAAAAAAAAAAACCCCAAACTTCGCGCCCCGTCTAGACAGGTCAAGGTGCAAGATGCTCCTCTCCCTGTTGCGTCTTCCGGAAAGGGGCGTGAACCGGAGCCAAGTGCACAGCAAACACCCGCGCCGCATCCCTGCCCCTTTAGAAGACTACTTTTTTTTTTTTTTTCTCTTCTTCTTCTTTTTCTCTCCACCCTCTGCTGATCAAAGTAGGAAGTTTTCATGACAACCATAGTCAAAGGGCCTGCATCGCAAATGAACTCGATTTCGGCGATGTTGATATATCCCGGCTCCATTGTCTCTTTTCAGACACAGTATGAACCCTTCCGGTCTCAATGATTACATTACAGAAGGACTTTCACATGTGGGCTTCATTTGCACAAAGGAGTTGCCTTGCTTCACCACCATCTGGCCACAAATCAGATAAATAAAGGCAGGAGAATTAAAATTAAAGCTTAGAGGGTTTTTTCCCTCTCTCTCCCCCTTCATCTTCTTCTTGCACCAGGGCCCATTATGAAATCCCTCCCTCCCCCAGTCGCATTCTGGATGGGAAGACTACTTTTTATGAAACCTGGGAAAAGCCAAAAAGTGCCTAAAAAAAAAAGACCAAAAAAAAAAAAAAAAGACAAAAATAATAAAAAGTCTGGGAAAAGCAAAAAAGTGCCTAAAAAAAAAGACAAAAAAAAAAAAAGATGACTGCAGTCTTTCACTCCCAACCCTGTTTGTAGGGCAGCGTAACCTATTTTACAGTAAAGACAGGCTCATACAAAACCACATTTTGCTATCAAAAGTCAGTCTCATCCACTGGGATGCACTTTTTTTTTTTTCAGGAAAATAAAAAGTCTGGGAAAAGCAAAAAAGTGCCTAAAAAAAAAGACAAAAAAAAAAAAAGATGACTGCAGTCTTTCACTCCCAACCCTGTTTGTAGGGCAGCGTAACCTATTTTACAGTAAAGACAGGCTCATACAAAACCACATTTTGCTATCAAAAGTCAGTCTCATCCACTGGGATGCACTTTTTTTTTTTTCAGGAAAACATAATGTCCCACAAGCTGGAAAAAAAAAGCTGGTGGCGGTGGAGGGTGGTGGCAGAAGTTTGTGTTTGAAACTTGTGCCCCAAACTCTGCTGCTTCTTCCTCCCGCTGGGACAGGGAGTGCAGAGGCTCGGGCAGCTCTCAGACACACAGCAAGGGCTTTTCCTCCACTCTAAAAAAAAAAAATAGGTGGCACTCTCTGAAGGCAGAAAATAAAATAACCTGCGAACGCAGGAGGAAGGTGTTACAGCCCTTACGACAGAAGGTGAGATTCAACCTCACAATCCAATTTCAGCCCTGGCATCACTTCTATTGAGGTCAGTGTTGCTCCGGGAGGGATTTTTTTTTTTTTGCAATCTGATTGCTATAGCAATAAATTGCACTGAATTTGATCCCCCTTCTAAACTACTTCCAGGACAGTAACTTAAGTCAGCTGATCGGGAAAGCCACTTTTCATGGTTGTATTTTTTTACACATATAGATATTCAGTATCATAAGCAGAAGGGTTTTACTCTGTAAATTCTGGAGAAAAGAAAAGATTTTTCATGTCTATATTCCAACCAATATTCAGGTGCGTAGTCATATCCCCTATTGCCCCTCTGCAGGCCCTTCCCGTGGCTTCCTGGCTGGTCAGGAACACGGTGAGCGTGGCTGAACTAAAGCCCACAGATGCCACAGGGTACCCTGCCCAAAGACAGGACACTCACATCTGAACGTTATCACGTGCAGCAAAGCCAAGCACTCACCTGGGAGAAAATGCATCCAAAGTCTGAAAAAAAAAAAAAAGAACCCTCAAAATTCATGTGTCAAACCCTACAAATTTACAGAAATGGTTTTGTTGCATGTGCTTTCTTTTGGATGCACGAGAAAGTTTTTGTATGTGTACTGGCACCTATGTGATGTGCTTCAGGCTGAGCACGGCTGGTATTTAGCATCATATTTAGATTTGGGCTGTATTCTTTTGCTACAGTAATGAAAAGTATTTTAGAGATAGCATATGCATAAAGAAGATGAATAAAAGCATAAGAGCGCAACTTGCCAACAGTTGGATTTACTAATTTTTTGTTTCTCTTTAATAAATTACACATTGGATGCATAATCTCTGAATAACTTTGTCTTCCCTCATTTGTTTGGAGTCAGACTCACACTTTGGGTAGCAGCTATTATTATATGAGCGTGTTTCTTGTAAAACCGTGGATGCAGAAGCTGGCAGGATAATCTATTAATTTCTGTTGTCCATTTGTTGGGTTTTGCCTAGGGAAATTTTTGCAGAAATAAATGCAACTTGAATTTAAGCAAAGTATTTTTTGCTGAGCTGTGCTCTGCCCGGGTGTACAGGGCTCTAGGCAGTTGAGAGTGCTTTTTCTGAAAGTGTTTTAATAGTAAGAGAGGAATAAGTATTTGGACAAGTGGTGGAAAACTAAAGCCTTTCTTTCTATACTGTGAAGATTTTGAATAGTACTTGTCAATAAAGCAACTCCTATTGTAATTGTACCGGAGACATGGGCCTCCACCCCGAAAAAGCTGTCTCAGAGATACTAACCTCATTAAAATATGAATGAAAAGGCAGCCATCATTGTAATGGGAGAAAACCATTTACTCGGCAACAAACTTTATCTGCTATCTTTTGTAAAAATAGAAATATGATATCCAGCAGATTTTTCATTACATTTGACGAGGAGGTTGATGAACACATGATTTTTTTAAGTTTTGAAGTCAGACACGAGATCTGACCCTTTCCTCCTTGCTTTTTCTACTGAGCATTTCAGAATTGGAAGCACCTTCAAATAATTTGAAATCTTTAAAAAGGAAAAAAAAAAGAGAGCTTTGTTTCTTTGGGGCTTTTTTTAAGGTTGAAGGAAACTTTTGCATTTATTTTTGTGTTTTTTTTCTAGAATATCTCATCCAATTTCAAAACAAAACAAGAGAATTCATTACGGACTACTGTGACGACACCCTAATAACAGTCAATTATAGGGTGCTCAAATGCCTGTTCATTACTATGTCTCTGTTAATCTAGTCCTAAATTTCTTCCTTGATAGATACCACAACTGGCCAAGAATACAATTGCATTACAAAGTGCAATGAAAAATATACAAAATGTAGCTGCAGGAAGTAGGCAGTTTCAAAATAACCGAGCTGTCAATCAGACATTTGTCAAAACAATTAGACATATCTGGTCTTTTTTTTTATAAAATATAGACAGTCTTGGAATGGATAATATGTGAAGCTTTAGGTTTAAATAAGAATTGTTTCAAAGACTTGGAAATAAGTCTTTTAAAATGTTTCATGTACTTTAATCATTATCTTTTCATCCACAAAAGTGTTCAAATCATTTTTGATATTAGTTAAAAGTCAATATTTAGAAGTGAAAATTCAAACCTCCTTTGCTCTAGGCTAAAACAGGAGCAACATGAATGCTGAGCTGCTCTAAAGGCTGATGGGATATATAATTAGCTATTATGTTAATTGAATCCACTGTGAGTTTGTTGTATGAGATTTCTTCATATAATATGCAAATAGCTTCGAAGGTTTAGTTTTATTAGACAATATAATTAGAAATCTTCTAAAGGAGTGAATTCTAATGAGGCATAATAAAGCTTTGTAAAATATCTGTTTGCAGACCACCTGGGCTTAATCAATAGCGGGAACTTTATTGTGTAATGGCATATTTTAAAGAAAGTTTAAGAATTTACCTTTCTAGTTCCATTCATCATAGTTTTATTTTCAGAGGAGGGTTCATTTTAGCAAGGAAGGAGGTGAAATTCTTGTAATAAGGAAGGAGGTGAAATTCTTGTAATCTGAGGGGAGGAAATAACTTCAAAAATAAACAATTCCAATTCTGCTTATTTAAAAGAAAATAAAAATAAATTAAAAAAAAAACCCTCTCCCAGCTGTAGCGTCAGTTATGTGCATCTCGAGACGCTTAAAGTGAAACGTTACATGAGCAAAGTTAGCCATTATTCCTGCCATTAAATGCCTGTTCAAGCAGATGTACATACTTTAGCTTCTGTAGTGTAACTAATCAGCGTAACTTCACTTTTAGTAAGATAGCCCAACATGTTAAAATGTGGAATTAAGCACTCTCTTCTAAAGGAAGAAATTCACACCAGGGTATTCCGGAGCCGGTCCCGAATTCCACCCTCGCATTCCACTTGCTTTAAGACCACCACCAAAGACAAAGCTTAAACTATTTTAGCTAATGCCAGAATGCCAAAAATGTGTAATCTCTCGTCTAATTCGCCTTGTTCACACTTTAGACTGTGCCAAAGCTGCACTA